CCTCCTATTCTGCTTAGCACTAACACCGCTTACCAACATGCTGAATAGACAGGGCCTGGGATTTACAGTCGATAAACACAATATCATCAGCCACCTGCTCTACATGGATGACCTTAAACTGTTCACCAAGAACGAATATGAGTTGGAGCAGGCCTTGGTAACAGTCAAAGCATTCAGTAATGACATCAAAATGGAGTTTGGCTTGGAAAAGTGTGCAACCGCAATCTTAAAAGGTGGTAAGCTAGTAAAAAGTCGAAATATTGAGCTTGATGACAAGACAGCCCTACAAAGTCTAAACCACGAGGACACCTACAAATATCTTGGTGTAGACGAAAGTGATGGTATTCAGCCTGCAAAGATGAAGGAGAACATTGCTAAGGAGTACTATCGCCGAGTTCGCCTAGTTCTCAAGTCTGAGCTCTGCTCAAAAAACAAGATAACAGCGATCAATAGCCTGGCACTCCCAGTTCCCGTGTACAGCTTCGGGGTGATCAACTGGCTGCGATCAGATATCGAAAGGATGGATCGCAAGACAAGAAAGCTACTAACCATGCACGGTCTCCATCACCCAAAAGCAGATGTAGAGCGACTGTACATCAAGAGGCAAAATTGTGGTCGCGGTCTCATTGAACTGATGTCTGCGTACAACACTGCCATTGTAGGTCTAGGCGACTACATCGAGCTTAAGGAAGACAAATTTACAAAGCTTATCAAAATTAATCAGTCTGGAATATCAAAGCACGCTCTCTTACGCGAGGCTAAAGAAATCAAAGCCAAGTACTTGTCTCCTCAGCCCGCCAGCCAATCCTCAACAAAGCAGAGACTGAAGACCAATATAGAAGCAGAGAAGATCGAGGTATTGAAGAACAAGCCTTTGCATGGAAGATTCTACAAGAGCCTCGACAGGCCATTTGTCGATAAGACTGCAAGCGTTGCATGGCTCAGTAGTTCCGGGCTCAAAAGGAAGACAGAAAGCCTGATCATTGCAGCTCAAGACCAAGCACTCAACACCAGATACCATCAACGCACCATCCTCAAGCAACAGGTCAACAGCAAGTGCAGAATGTGCAGCAAAGCAGAGGAGACTATCAGCCACATCATCTCCGGATGCACAGTGCTGGCCCCAACCGAGTACATAAATCGCCATAACAAGGTAGCCAGCTATCTGCACTGGTCAATCTGCAGTGAACTTGGTGAGCAAGTATCTGACAAGTGGTATGAACATACTCCGAGACCAGTTACCAACATCGGATATACTACCATAATGTGGGATATGGCGGTGCAGACAGATCGCACGATACCTGCAAACCGCCCTGATATAGTGCTCCACAACAGGAAAGAAAAACGATGCCTGTTGATTGACGTAGCCGTACCAGATGACTCTAACATTATGGTGAAGGAAAGGGACAAACTCACCAAGTACAAAGATCTGGAGATTGAAATTAGGAGGATGTGGAATGCAAAGACGAGAATTGTACCAGTGGTGGTTGGAGCCCTTGGCTCTCTAAAGAATGGTTTTGAGAAGAACCTTAAGGAACTCCCAGGCCAACACACTGCCCAAGAAGTGCAGAAAATCGCACTACTGGGAACAGCACACATCCTGCGAAAAATTCTGGATTGAATCCCTATGTCCCAGGTTGGGACACGGTCAACCCAGAAGCCACCGGCTAATGCCGTGATCCACTTTGGAAATAATAATAATAATTGATTTATACTCTGCACATTGCCTACAGACATATATGTTAACATAGCTGCACGCGCATGGTTTAGTTGTGATTCATTGCATTGCTCTTTGATTTGAATTTGATAAGTTGACTCATGAAATTATCAACGCTTACGTTGCAAACGATCTATGTATGCTACATGAATAGAATACGCGCCTATAGATAAGTAACGCAAATAACCACACACACACACACACACACACTGCTGCTGCTGTTGTTGTTGCTGCTGCTGCTGTTGTTGCTGCTGCTAATGATGCTACTGCTGCTGCTGCTGCTACTACTACTACTACTTCTACTACTACTACTACTACTACTACTACTACTACTACTGCTGCTACTACTACTACTACTACTACTACTACTACTACTGCTACTACTACTACTACTACTACTACTACTACTACTACTACTACTACTACTACTACTGCTGCTGCTGCTGCTGCTGCTGTTGATGCTGCTGCCACCGCTGCTGCTGCTACTGCTGCGGTTGATGCTGCTGCTGCTGCTGTTGCTGTTGCTGCCGCCGCCGCCGCCGCCGCTGCTGCTGCTTCTGCTGCTCTCACACTGTTTGGGATTCTTCCAGATTTCTTAACACGTTACTAGTGCGGCGAGAATAAACAGGTTGCAGCGCAGACACGCTAAAAAGCACCAGTTCCTGCTCGAGGCTCCGGGATCTCAAAAACAACGGCGCGCGCTGGAGAGAGAGAGAGAGAAAGAGAGAAAGAGAGAGCGCGAGAGTGAGTGTGTGTGTGTGTAGGTTGGCGAATTAGGCAGGCAACGGAAGTGCGTGTATGTGGGGCGACTGCCTTCTACAGGAAATACACGATGCGGATATGTAGCTAGTCGCTGGCAGGACGACTAATGTGGCAATGAACGGGCACATCTAAATAATTATAATAGTGATCGAATATGTATAATATATATATAGTATATATAATAATATATATATATATGATATATATATATATAATATATATTATGTGTGTAATATGTACACACAACACACACCGCACGCGCGACGACATCACACACACAACGACACACACACACACACACACACACACACACAACACACACGGTGAATCGCGCGCGCAGCGACAGCCCGCCCCCCGGGTCCCGGCGCGCTTCAGGCCGGGCTGTGACCCGCCCCGGGTCCCCCGCCCGCATCACACGACACACGCTCGGCGCAGACGCACGCAGACGTGCACACGCCACAGCACACTACACACACACACACACACACACACACACACACACACACACACACACACACACACACACACACGCACACACATGCACACGTATGCCACGCCACGTATTTATATGTAGATCTTTTGGCATGGCATGCTTCATGATCTAACTTGACTGATTTCACACGTACACAGGCACACACGTACATGTATACAACCCATGCGCCCGCACTCATAACACACAGCAACAATAACAAGAGCGAGCATCACTTACCATTCCCGCATCACTACTCCTCCTCCTACGCTGCCGCTGCCGCTGAAGCTACCGCCGGCCTCCGTCTCTGCACCGCCGCCTCCTCCGTCTCTCGGCGACGCCGCGACACCGTTCGCGTACACGAACACCGAGTCCTCACTGATGGCAGCAGGGGAGCGGCGTCGCAGCGAGCGCCGCAGCATGAGGCTTCCTCCAAGCTCGCCGCACCGACACATGCACGGAGAGTCGGTGACGTCGTCGCTAGCGCTGTCCCCGCTGAAGGCGACACTCGGCGACGTCGCATCACTGGAAGCTTCCCGCGATCTTTCGTTCCCGTCCGGAAGCTGGATCGGAGCGACGGGCGACCGTCTATCGTCGGTCGACAGCGTCCGACGCGTCGCTGCGTCGGATTGCGTCGTCGGCTTAACGTCAAACGACGTCGAGCGACGACTGCCGAATGCCTGTCGACGCGAGTCGTCGGCTGCGCTGTGCGATTCTCGCGCCGTCTGGCGTCGTTCGAGCCGATGCGACGGCGGATGCACTGAGCATTCCTGAACGGAGATGACCTGGCCTTCGAGTTTACGTCGCACGCGCTCGTCGGCAATCTTCGTCGGCTTCTCCTGCGTGTTACTGGCAGCTTCCTCTCGAGTTTTATCGATGGGCGCCTCCTGCGCTTTAGTCGTGAAATCCTCGTGCGTTTTGTCGGTGAAATCGTCTGCTGTTTTGCTGGTGAAATCCCTTTGCGTTTCGCTGGAATCTTTCAGCGTTTTGCTAGTGAAATCTTCTCGCATTTCGTCGGCGGAATCTACGCGCATGTGTTTTTGCGTTGATATTTCGCCGGCGGCGGGAGGGGAAGGAGTTAGCACCTGCCGCACGAGTTTCATCTCGTCTCTGGGCCACGGAAAAGTCTCGGGAGCCAGCGCGAGCGCCTCCATCGCTCTCCGCCTCCTCTCAGCGTATTTCTTACTCTTCGCTGCCGCTGCCACCGCCGCCGCCGCCGCCGCCGCCGCCTCCGCCGCCTCCGCTGCCACCTCCGCCTCTGCTGCTGCCGCCTCTGCGACCGCTGCCTCTGTTGCTGCCGCCTCCACTTCTGCCTCTGCTGCTGCTGCTGCCTCTGCCGCCGCCTCTGCTGCCACCGCCGCCTCTGTTTCCGAGAATGTCGAGTGATGTTCCCGCTGCTGATTTTGGAAAGGAATCCGCACATCGTTCTTTGCATGCCTTTCCCTCTCCTCGCCGAGGCGCTCCCTCTCCCTCTCGGGTTTCCTATCTGCGTCTGCCCGCATCGAGTGTAGCGCGAAGTCCGTCACGGGAATCAGCGATCCGTTTCCGACCGTGCTCTCCCGGATCGCGTGATTCTCGGATCCGGCAGCGAACCCGGCCGGTTCCCGGTGCGGCTCCAGCCGTAACTCGCGGGAAAACCGCCGCGTGTCGCCACCGTCGCCGAGCTGCACCGCGTTGGCCCTCGTCTGTCGGCGCGTCTCGTGCGTTATTGAGTCACGATCATTCTCGCGCGTCGTGGATGCTACCGATACGCCGTGAGCAGGCGCTATCATCGAAGATGAAGTGCGATAAATGTCGACAGCCGTTATTGCTTCCGACGCTGTCTCAACATATCCGTTATCGGCGACACTGCCGCCACCGCCCCCGCCGCTAACGCTACAGCTGCCGCCACCGCCACCGCCGCTGACGCTACCGCTGCCGCTGCCGCCACCGCCGCTGCTGCTGCTACCCCTACAACTGCCGCCACCGCCGCTGCTGCCGCCGCCGCCACTCTCATGATGTAAGTCGATCAGGTCGACTTCGTCCGGTCGCAGGAATTTATCGTGACACTCCGAGTCCGAGTCGCAGACGTTTACGCCCAGCAGGTGCGTCTCGGGCAACGTCTCGTCACTTCCGGAACTCGCGTCGGCGTCGTTCGTCGCCGACACGTTGATGTCGCTCAGCTCGACCTCTTCTTCATCGTCGTCGGCGGCGGCGGCGACGTACGCAGCTCTCCCTGGCGGCGAGCAGGCGTCGTCGCTGCTGTATCCGTTGTTCTCTATCGGGGAAGCTCCGCCGAAGAAGTCGTCGTCGGAGAAGTCTAGCAGAGCCTCAAGGCTGATCTCCGCCGACAGGTAGCAGCCAGCGTCGTGCACGCGGTCGAGGATCGAACTGGGAGTCTCCAACTCGGCGTGCGGCGGACTGCGGAGGTAGTGGTGGGAGAAGGGCGCCTCCCCTCTCCTCTCCCTCTCCCCTTCCTTCTCGCCCGCTCGCTCAATCTCCTGCTGCTGGCCGTTAACGGGCGCGACGACTGACTTCACTTTCCCGTTGATGAGGAGCCGCATGCGCGAGGTGCGGGTCGCCTCGGGGAGGTTCGTGGGGCGGCGCGGCGGAACCGGAAGAGCCATATCCCTGCCGGGTCCCTCCTGACCTCCCGGCGCCGGCGCGCCGCCCTCTTCCCCGCAGACGGGCTCCGCCACGGGGCGCCGCTTTTCGTCGGCGTCGTTAAGTCCGGCTAGGTCGGTGATGTCGACCGTCTGTATGCCGCGTAGCGACGACAGGTGGCGGATGCGTTCCCGCACCTCCTGCTCGACGGCAATGATGTACGCCTTCTGTATCATGCAGTCGGCCAGCGACACTGAAACACACGATGCACGCACGGATAATGAAACATTTAGATAGGCACGGACAGTGAGATAGGCACGGACAGTGAGACACATGAGAGACACCCTGACACTGTAGCACGGACACGGTCACTGAAACACGTAGGCACACACGCACACACGCACGCACGCACGAACGCACGAACGCACGCACGCACGCACGCACGCACGCACGCACGCACGCGCGCACACACACACACACCGATTGGGTTAATTCCTTTAAAATGTATACAAGCAAACGCCGTGGTCAACCTATTGCATGAGATGGATGTTTGGTGTCAGCAGTTGACGGCACAGCCGAAATCAGGAGTTCAAGCAATTCTCATACTCGAACTAAAATTATCAATTTCTAAAAAAAAAATGTACTAAAGGTACCACTAATCATCACATGCAGGTTAGCAAAATTCGCTAGTTAAAACTGGTTGAAACACGGGCGTGTCCGTACATAGGATACTGCGGAGAAACATGCGTGTAAAAAGTGATCAAAGGACGCCAACACCAGACGCCCTGCTACCGCCCCACATCCGTCCACCTACGCGAAAGTCGCACACGCCTCAGCAAGGGTGTATCTATATAAACCTTGCCTTGTTTTTAAGCTTTCGATGCAAATACGGTGGGCGAGGATAACATCCTACCCGTACCTACACGGGAAAGCTCTTGTTACCGCCGTTCCACTGTGCACGTACAGTCTCGCTGGGCCCTGCGTGCCGCACTCGCGCTAGGTCACAGGCACTTGGAACGTCTCAATAAATAAAAATTTAAACATGAAATGTACTACCAAAGTCTTAATGTTTCTCTACTCTATTTCGACTATTATTGCCGATAATTACCCGTAAATGCCGGTCAAATGCTCATCTGCAACACACAAGTACACCGCACGCCCGCCCTGTGCACAATCAACATGAATAAGAAAATGAGCATTTGACCGGCATTTACGGGTAATTATCGGCAATAATAGGCGAAATAGAGTAGAGAAACATTCAGACTTTGGTAGTAAATACATTTCGTGTTTACATTTTTTTATTTTATTGAGACGTTCCAAGTGCCTGTGCGCTAGGTATGATGGAACGATGTCTCGTACATTTTACACCCAGCTATACGCGGCGGCGTCCCTGGAGAATGCTGAGCTGCTATCTACACCGCTACACGCACGCACGCACACGCTGCACGGTCACGCTCCGGATAAAACTGAGACGCATATTTCGACTGGCTTTCTCTTGTCAAAACCTCGCGGGGCGAAGGACGGGAGGAAGAGGAGGAGGGAGAGGAGGAGGAGGAGGGGGAGGAGGAGAAGGTGGTGGTAGTGGTGGTGATGGGGGAGAAGAAGAAGGAGGAGGAAAACGAGCAGGAGGGGAAGGAGAGATGTTCACTATAGCCTCTTCCCCTAGTATATATATCAAGAGTGCATAATAGAGATCTCTATTATGCACTCTTGATATATATATATAGTAGAGCTGTGAAAAACCAAATATAAGGGATGATTGAGGGGAGAAAAAGGAAGGATATTCGATGTAGGAGGAGAAGGGATGTTCGACAGAGAGGAAGGAGAGATAATAAGGAAAGAGAAAGGAAGGGTATTGCAAGAGAAAATTATAAAATATATTGCAAGAGAAAGGAAAGAATGATACTGTATGGGAAAGGAAGAAGTGACATTGCACGGAAAGGAAAACGAGGGCTATTCGGGGTGGCGTGAGGTGCCTATAGTGACTGACTCGCTAACCGACTATAACCCGCTGAGAAGGTGAATAGCAAGTGCTAGGCTGCGTGAGTACCGTCCCCGTGTTTATTTACAGAGGCAGTGGTTTGATTATTGCCGAATTTCGAAAGAAACGCCAGCGGTAAAACGTCTGCCTGGCGATGGACACACACACACCGCGCGCGCGCACGCGCACGCGCGCACGCGCACGCACGCACGCACACGCACGCACGCACGCACGCACGCACGCACGCACGCACGCCCACACACGGCGTACACACACACAGCACACACAACACACACACACACACAACAACAACACCACGACACACACACCAAACACACGGCAACAGCGCGACCGCGTCAAGTTTGTAGTTTTATTTGTTTGTTTTGGCTTTAAATTGTTTGGTTTTATTGTTTTGCTATTTGTTTGTTTCATTATTTGGTTGTTTGTCCCGCCGTTTTGTTAAGTTCGCTTTCGACTAAAACATTGGCAAACCATGGACAACAAGCTATAAATAGAAACCATTTGTCGGCCAGTTAAACAGCACACCCGTGATATAACAAACACAAGCAAAAATTGTGGCTAAAATAACGAGAGCGAAAAGCTAAGTGTCACTGCCCCACCTACGAAGTGGGGAGGTTTAAACATAAACACGGAGCTAGATGCTTTAGCGTTTGCGCTAGCACTGCTACATCGCGTAGACGAATATCTTCTATGTCTTCTAAGATTGTTCCGTTTC